GTAGGGAAATTAATTGAATAACCCAATTTTTGGGCTTCATTGAAAAATACTATACCCTTGTTTGTTTCACTCTTCTGAACTATTTATTTGTTATCCTATTTGGATTTAAAAAAACAGAATATGTGTTTGTTTAATTATTAGGATCATTATTCTAAAAATTAATCCAAATCAAATAAGATTTTTTCTATTGAAAATGAAAAGAGGGAGGATTTGTTTTTTATTATCCTATACTAAACATTTTTCCGACTCTATTAAACTAAAAACAATTATCTTTCACTTATTCCAATTTGAAAATTAATCCACCCAAGACCACCATCATCTGCTAACAACCACCATCGATCGTCGACGGCCACTATTGGCCACCAGCCACTGTTATCGGCATTAGAATGACGCGTGACCAGTCAAATCTGGTTGGTCGCGCATTGATCTTGCCATTGAAATTTGTAGCGAAATCACCCTCACCCACCCTAAGCCACTACTGCCAGCTAGCTACCACCGTTGGTCATCGTCAGCAGTCAACGGAATGGCACACGACTGGCTGTATATGGCCGGCCATGCGTTGGCAGCGCCATTTTCGTCCATGGATCACAATCCATTGCCGTTTCATAACCAAATTTATGGTCATTTCACGACCAAAGATGTGGCTGTGCGATTTCACAGCCAAAGATTTGGCCTTTTCATGGCCACATCGAAAAGGCCAAATCTTTGGCCGTGAAACGCCAGATTAGGCTGTTTCCAACCATGGATCATAGATCTATGGCCAGAAAAGGTCTTACCAGCACACGACTGGGTAGATCCTGCTAGTCGTGTACCATTACAGTGATTGACAACAGTAACCGGTGGTGGTAACAGCTAACGGTGGTCTTAGGTGGTTGTGGATATTTTGTTAACTTTCAAACTTTTTTGTGGCTGATGTGTTTTAGCTAATTTTTAAAATGTAGGGGGACTAAGCTAATTGTTATTTGGTAGACATTTGAGGGTACTTGTGTCTGAAATGACATTTAATTAAGGGCAAAATAGGTAAAAAAATAAGATTACTCGGTAATGTGGGGTTGGGTGGGGGGGGGGGGGGTGTATCGGATTACCCCCAACATTACCAACAGTAAACACTATTTGCAATAAAAGATTCCCTGTAATATTTTATTACTTGCAAACTAAACACCGGAATCTTGCAAAATAAATAAAGATTACTCTTGTTATCTTATATACCACCGATCCAGATGTAGCCTATTGGTTTTGAAATATTACCAAAATCTTATATTATTTGACAACTAAATATAATAATCAAGTAATAAAAGATGATATTACCTCAGTAATTCCCTAGTGCCCCCAACCAAACACACCCTAAGCACAAAAAAAGTGTTAACTAAAATTAGGTTGAAAAATGATTTTTTCAGAAAATTTATCAACAAATTCAAGTGATTAAACTCTTGCAATGCCTGAGTGGGGTATAATGATATTAGCCTCGCTCGATTGGAATTTTTTAATATTTTATATGATTCAAATTAATAATTTACATATAATTTATTATGTATAATATCATTATAACCCTCATAAAATATAAAAAAAATTCACTCAAGCGAGGTTAATATTATTATACCGCACTCGTGTGAGACGGGACTTGTGCAAGACTTTTTCTTGTGACTCAAGTTTCTACAGTTTTTTTGGAAATTTCGTCCGATTGAAAGTGCATATTTTTTTTTCCCTAAATATGCATTATGTCATTTATATTAAACAAAAATGAACATAATATACACCCTAGATATATACAAACAATACAAAAAAACATAAATAAAAAAACGTTAAAGAGAAGAAAGAAGAGAAAATAAGAAAATTGAAGAAGGGTAAAACTGTCCAAAATTTACATCAAATGCCATGTTTACAAAAAAGATGAATCATTTTTTAATTTTATTCTTAAAATAGGGTCAAATAAGCAGTTATTTCTGATTTTATTTCTAACGTGTCTCATCCCATCTACAACTGAACCTCTCGTATTATCAATACATTAAAGCGATATTGAGATATTATCAATATATTAATGCGATATTGAGATACTATCAAATTAATTGTAATCAGGGACGTGGTCAAAAATGAAATATAGGGTGGTGAAAGTTGAAAGAATAATACAATTTTAAATTAAAATAAGCACAAATTTTGTATTTATAAAATAATCATTAATTAATGCATTTATAATTGTTCACCACGGGATTTTATCTTTTGAAAGTATTACATAATGACTTCATTATTAATACTATCAAATACATCTTTCTCTATATACACAATTATATTATCATTCAACCATTGATCACTCATTCTATTTCACAAACGATTCTTCACAAAATTCATTATTGAAAATGTTATCTCTACACTAAAACAAATATAATAAGAAAAATAGAATGATTGATAATAAAGATATACAAAAATAATAATAATAATAATAAATGACGAAATAAGCAAAGCTTGTATAAAGAAATAGAATCATAAAATTGGGCCTTCTGAAATGTAGAAAGAATTTAAGAGTGGTAATTTTGTAAATAAAAACATGAAATTCAGGAGAAGCAAGAAAGTGTGGGGTCAAAATTTATATGTCAGTTCAATGGTTCATAAATGTTGTTATTCTTATTTTCATAATCTTATAAATAAATGAACACAACATCAAATCAAAATCAAATAACAAATGGCTTTAATGTTAAATTTGAACGGTAATAATTAAAAAATTGATATCTAAATCAATGGCCAAATTGGGGAGATGAAAAATAATCAGGTGTCTCAAAAGCTTAAATATCATAGAATATATGTTTTGAAAATGGAGCCCTACCAATCTCTATCTAATGTAAGACTGGTAAACATATCCACAACTTGTCATTCACCTTATGATTACATGGAAGATACTTGTTACAAAATGACATAATATACTTTTGATTTTGATTTATTATTTACCTTTCACATGAACACTAACTTTATCAAATTATTATTAGTAATTTTCTTTTAAAAAAACTTAAGGAGGGTCAGTTGACCCCCCTCCATCCGTCCTTGATTGTAATAGAAAGTTTAAATATAGGCTGAAAGCAATTCTCAACTTTAATTGTTTATCACAATCGNCCTGAGTGGGGTATAATGATATTAGCCTCGCTCGATTGGAATTTTTTAATATTTTATATGATTCAAATTAATAATTTACATATAATTTATTATGTATAATATCATTATAACCCTCATAAAATATAAAAAAAATTCACTCAAGCGAGGTTAATATTATTATACCGCACTCGTGTGAGACGGGACTTGTGCAAGACTTTTTCTTGTGACTCAAGTTTCTACAGTTTTTTTGGAAATTTCGTCCGATTGAAAGTGCATATTTTTTTTTCCCTAAATATGCATTATGTCATTTATATTAAACAAAAATGAACATAATATACACCCTAGATATATACAAACAATACAAAAAAACATAAATGAAAAAACGTTAAAGAGAAGAAAGAAGAGAAAATAAGAAAATTGAAGAAGGGTAAAACTGTCCAAAATTTACATCAAATGCCATGTTTACAAAAAAGATGAATCATTTTTTAATTTTATTCTTAAAATAGGGTCAAATAAGCAGTTATTTCTGATTTTATTTCTAACGTGTCTCATCCCATCTACAACTGAACCTCTTATATTATCAATACATTAAAGCGATGTTGAGATATTATCAATATATTAATGCGATATTGAGATATTATCAAATTAATTGTAATCAGGGACGTAGTAAAAAATGAAATGTAGGGTGGTGAAAGTTGAAAGAATAATACAATTTTAAATTAAAATAAGCACAAGTTTTGTATTTATAAAATTATCATTAATTAATGCATTTATAATTGTTCTCCACGGAATTTTATCTTTTGAAAGTATTGTATAATGACTTCATTATTAATACTATCAAATACATTTTTCTCTATATACACAACTATGTTATCATTCAACCATTGATCACTCATTCTATTTTGCAAATGATTCTTCACAAAATTTATTATTGAAAATGTTATCTCTACACTAAAACAAATATAATAAGAAAAATGGAATGATTGATAATAAAGATATACAAAAATAATAATAAATGATGGAATAAGCAAAGCCTGTATAAAGAAATAGAATCATAAAGTTGGGCTTTCTGAAATGTAGAAAGAATTTAAGAGTGGTAATTTTGTAAATAAAAACATGAAATTCACGAGGAGCAAGAAAGTGCGGGGTCGAAATTTATATGTCAATTCAATGGTTCATAAATGTTGTTATTCTTATTTTCATAGTCCTATAAATAAACGAACACGACATCAAATCAAAATCAAATAACAAGTGGCTTTAACGTTAAATTTGAATAGTAATAATTAAAAATTGATATCTAAATCAATGGCCAAATTGGGGAGATGAGAAATAATAAGGTATCTCAAAAGCTTAAAAATTATAGAATATATGATTTGAAAATGGAGCCCTACCAATCTCTATCTAATGTAAGACTGATAAGCATATCCACAACTTGTCATTCACCTTATGATTATGTAGAAGATACTTGCTACAAAATGACATAATATACTTCGATTTTGATTGATTATTTACCTTTCGCATGAACACTAACTTTATCAAATTATTATTAGTAATTTTCTTTTAAAAAAACTTAAAAAGAGGGTCAGTTGACCCCCCTCCATCCGTCCTTGATTGTAATAGAAAGTTTAAATATAGGCTGAAAGCAATTCTCAACTTTAATTGTTTATCACAATCGTAAAAATATAATATTATTAAAAATATCATAAAATATGTATCATTTATATAAAACACTAAACAGACATTCTCTAGTTTACAAGTAAATGCCTGAGCATTCCAAAACGTTTGTATGATTAAATCTTTATTCGATATTGATTTACATAGAAATATGTGTTATTCACATCAAGTAGTGTGTGACAACATTATTCTAGCGTGCCAAAGAGCCAAATTATTTTTCCTGTAGCTGGAACTATGATTCAAAATTAGACATATTCAAGTACTGCACCACTGTGATTGAATCCACATGATACTTGCAATGCTTTCACGTTCTTTCCAAAGTTTACCATTTTAGGTTTTATGAAGTCAACATCATTTCCATGACCCTGGAAATAATATCAAATACCATAACTGTGTAAACTGAAATTAAAGGAAAATGAAAGAAAGAAGATATTAGACATGAGTATTGAACTCCAAGGCATTCTACAATTTTCTTTTTTTTTTTAAAAAAAAAAAAAAACAATCCGACAAAAGATTACCAATGGATGTACTAAATCCTGACTTGATACACCCACACAAATTTTCTTACTATATGTAGTTGTAATGATCAATGATAGAAGCTCCACGCAATTTTATTATTATTATTTTCTCTCTACCCCTTCCTAAATCAATTAAAGGAAAATGAAAGAAATAAGAATGATCAAAAAACAATTGAACATTATATAAGAAAGTTGGAAACAAACCAATTGTCCACCAGACGAGTACCCATCTTCAGAGAATGTTCCATGAGAACCACCCCAGCCCCAGGTGAAGACGTTGCCTTCTGAATATGAACAACAAATTCACATCATTGAAGTCCAGAAGTCAAAAAGAAATATTTCAATATTAAGTCATGTAATGTGTATTGCCAGTAAAAACATTATGCCATGTAATTTTCAGTAGTAAGGGGAAAAAAAGTCAATCAAACAAAATAGGCTTAAGTATAATTAGAGGATACAAACACACCCAAAGAAACATCATGAAAAGAAATTCACTTGAGCAAAGTGAATAATGGTTATGAGAGATGAACAAAACATAAATGATCACTAATTTGAGTTAAAAAAACATAACAATAATAATCTCATATATGCTGTATGTTCAGGAAATAAAATTGGTGAACAACCAATATTAATAGTAGTTGCCAGTAGTTTTAAATTGAGACTGAGGTGGTAAGGCAACATAAGAGAGTACTTAGATTCTCTCAACAACTAAGGTGGATTTTTATTTATGGAAAACCATAAAAACATTGCTCTAGGAATGGAAAAAAGAAATAGTAGCGTTTTAAAAATAAAGTAAGAGTTCAAAATAATTTGAAAAGCAGATATGTATTTCGCTGCATTATGGGTTGCAAATCAGCTTTCATTTCAAGAATTTTCAAAAGCACAGGAGAGTGTTGTTTTCAGCTGATTTCTTCATTGTTTGATATGCTGTATAAGTTTCTTCAAGGTTAGCTTTAAAGAACTTGGGACGGACTTTGTTCTCCTTTATTCTTTGTGCTCTTCTTCTATATTGAAATAGTTTTTGCTTCTTATCAAAAGAATGTAAGCAGCCACACATTTTTCAGCACATAAGGGAGCTCCTTTAAACTGTGCATGCCAGTGGCACACACAGGCGCACAAATTATTTTGTCTAACGTCCAACATTCCGATTTTTTGATAAAGTATTCTCCTGCAAAGGCCTTATATTTCAAAACAAGCTCTTACCGGAGTTGCTGCTGTATGCTTCCAGCCACAAGAGACCTGCAAATGTAATATCAAATATAAAGTAACGATGTATCATGTACGGAGTAGACCTATTAACAATTGGGTGGTCATGCTTTTCCCTCATTTATAAAGGTTTTATCATGACTTGGCAAAAAAATATGGATGGAGCAGTCAAAGCATCATTTATAAATGGAGTTAAAGCATGACTTCGCCAAAAAAATATGGATGGAGCAGTCAAAGCATCAATTAAAATAACATAATCTTCAAGTTATTTCCATCTATCGTTTGCAGTGTACAACCAGATAAAATTTCTAAGTAAACTGCAGCACAAACCTTGTAAACAGGAATCTAGAAAAAGGACCTTGAACTCTTTCAGGTGAATGAAAGGCATCTGTAGAACTGGTAACAAAAATTACATTACCATAAAGGAAATCAGTTTTCAACAACTAAAACTTATTGCAAGTTTTAAAATTAACAAGCTAAGATAGGTTCAAGAAAATCTCGAAATGAAAGATACCCGATACCAAGGCAGCCATTCTCATTGGAGCCCCAAGTGTATAATTCCCCACCACCTATAAGCAATTGGTAAAACGAGGGAAAAAATGGTTTAGTATAATACTAACCACCCAGGACATAATCTAACTAATGGTCAGTGGAAAAGGGCTTGCTGATGAAAATTGTGACAATCTGACACATATAATATAAGTTGAAATAGAGAATAATTAACAAAGATGGCTAGAGAAGTTCATTTATGAGTTGCGAAGGGCCATACCCTATGATAATGAACTTTTGCCAGGGATATTGTCCCAATAATCTTAATCTACTTCCAGTAACTACAACAGGTTGCTTGGGCCAGCAGTTGCCTAATAAAATATTGCTGGTGGGGATCAAAGAGAACAGCTACATATAAACATGACTTATTCTTTCTTGTTTTTTTTTTTTTTTTTTTTTATTGGCGGCTGCGGGGGGTGGGTGTGGATGTGGTAAGGTATGTTGCACATATTTAATAAGAACAAGAAACACATCACAAGGGCAGGACTCTGTAAATGAGATGAATATAAGTGAGGTGCCAAATAAACTGTTGGACGTCATATGAAGATTACATTGCACTTAAATATCATCAATATGGAATAAAAAACTAATCACATATCCATATTCATAAGCTTTTGAAGCTTCTCTATTCAATCATCTCCTTGATAACATGGTAACTTAAGAAATTTTAAGCCTAGATTAAAATAATAATAAATAGGGGTAAAAATTTACTTGTCACAACACACGTGTGATAACCACCACATGCAACTTCATCTGAATATGGTAGCTTCTAATCATGGATGGTGTTGTTGCATTTTTTCTGTCTTGAAGACCTACATTCATTTTATTAATATATTATCATTTGACGAGGTAAATAAATGCTACAAGAAGAGCCTACACAAATGACCTAAACTGTGGTTGCCAGAACCTATCAAATTACAAATACTAGAACTCACCATCTTATCTGCTGCCTCTTCACCAAAAAAAAGACAGAGCCCTTTTCTGGAATTTCAGAAGAAGTCATGATTGTTTAACCTTAGTCAGATAAGAGACATCATGGAGAAGATTAGGCACAAGAAAAGTTGATGAAATACCATCAATGCACGCCGAATGCAGAAGCCCAGCAGCTGCATTTTGACCTAGCGATGAGGTCAAAAGGCCATAATGTTAAGAGAAAATGACATTCATTTCAGTGCCTGACAACATCAATCACCAGTTGAATCGACACAAATAAAATACCTTGCTTTCTCAAGTTCCTTGATAAGTCTGGTGTGTATTCACTGTCAAAAATTATCTATTAATTCATACTGAAAGGGAACAAAGAGTTCTGTCCACCCACGGAGGAAATAAGTAGAGAAGACAAATGAAGTAAAATGCGTCTCTAGGGAGAAGAAATTTTCCACATAGTGGCTATATTCATTCAAAAAATAAAACTTCCGCCCTCAGAAATTTCCAGAGAACTTAAGATTCCATTAACCTTAAACATAATAAAGTTACATAAGATGTGAAGTGAACTTCAAGAGGTCCATATCTATGGTTGCATTAAGTATGATCATAGCATAGTTCAGTTCTTTCCAAATTTTTACTAACTTACCTCGGTAGCTAGATTGTATCACACTAAAAATACCAGAAAAATAAAATTCAAAAATGATAATGTAACAATAAACAAAAACTCAGAAGTAGATTAAAAAAAGGATTCTTTATTTCTATCCAAACAAATACTAGTCATACACAATTCATGAACAAAGAATTTGTCACTAATCTTGCTATCACATCATACAAGTTTTACTGGTGTTTCCACATACTCATTCCAAATGTATCAAATCAACCGCAATATGTGGGACAAATTATAGAAGTAGAAACTTGAACATCACCAATTAACAAGATATTGTATATACTTAATTAAGAGAAACGATTGTCAGATTTTCAAGCAGTGGAAATGTGAAAAGTTCTAATTTTGAAATAAAAATAAAAAAAAATTTCTTTTCACTTTAAACCACTAAAGATTATAAATCAACAAATGAACCTGGAGCTTCTTAAGAACCCTAAAATGCTTGATTCATGGCCATCCAAGTCTTCCAGACCCTCCTCCTCCCCAACAAACCTCTCCTTCATCTGGATCAAATATAAACAATCAAGGCCAAACAAAGTTTACAACCTAGCATTTTTTAATTAATAAAGAAGCTACTACTACATCAAACATAGAATCTGTCTTTTCAGTTCCAACCAGTAACAGCAACTGAGTGTCAGAACCCAAAGCTGCAAGTTTTATGCGGATTCCACTCAAGCACTCTATTTTTGTCGGAACAGAAACTACTTTTGCTGCTTCTCGATATCGTATTCAGTGCCTATAGTATCAGTTTGAGAATAAGTTAGAATGTCATTTCTTTACTGACTAGAAAACTAATGCTGCAGTAAGTAAAACATTCCCGACAGAAAAATATACATAAGACGCAGACATAACATTAACATTAAGTTGAGGTTCATGCGTTACTTTTCCAAGACCAAGCTGTCCATTGGAGTTTCTTTCCCCAAATGTAGAGCTCCCCATCCACTACAAAAAAAAAAAAATAAATAAAATAAAATAAAAAGGGAATGAATGCTTCAGAAAATATATTAGAAAAGATTAGGAATATACAAGGACATCATAGACATGTATTACACTAGCATATATTCTTTTAACCATGGATCATCCCAACCCTTCCCCATGCAAGGTTGTTATGTGGTTTTTATTTCAACTGTAAGCTATCTAGACTAGGCTCCCCTTGCGGATGCATATATAGGAGAGAGATCAGAAAAAAATGGAGTTTATACTGCCAAATTTACAATAGCCCTGATTTAAAATTACTAATATAAATAGACTTGCCTAGATACTCTCAAATCACCTGACACAATATAATCTATTTTGAATCTTATTTTTCTCTTCAATAGGACATATAGTTCTGCCATGCCTAACTTAGTCACATAAAAAAATTGTCCTGTACCTAACACATAAAAAAGAAAATCACTGACCAATCTTTGACTCCACATGCACAGTAAGTTCATTTACTCATACCAAGTCTTGAGCCTAAAGGTGTTCTTATTTTATCACTTAACACACCAAATTATAAGGGAGAAGTTGTTCAAAACATTTCATATTTAGTATGCATCATGGCACTACAATACAAAATCGAGCTTTCCATGATAAAACTCAGGCATATTGACATTTCACATATGATACCAGTTTTTTTATAAATTTACCTCAAAGTATCCTTCTTGTGAAACTATAAGATCAACTGATCAATGTGAGAATATGGATCGCACTGGCTTTAGTTCAGTACCAAGTGTTATCTCAATCCACTCTCATGGAAGCCCTCTCATGACATCAAGGTTTTTAGTGATACTGATATGCCGCAGTCTCAAAATACAGACACAGAATTATTGATAGTGTAATCTTTGTCCAAGAAGCCTTAAATGTGAAAATGAGGAACATAAAGAATTAAATTATTTCTAGCATTTACCACATTAGTTACTTTGAACATCAGAAGTTCTCTCACTGTAATGGCAGCTGAGTGATAATAACCAGTTGAGATGTGCACAACCCTTCCCCAAATCCAGATACTTCAATTGGCTCCTGCAAAACCAGTTAAATAAAGATAATAAGAATGAGTAAGTAAGTGAACATCTAGAATCAGCAGTCCAAACATAGAACACTCTCAATTCGGAAAAAAAAAAAGTTAAAATATTCATACCAAAGAATAACTTATATTTTCTGATCTGCCGAGCTGTCCAAAATCATTAAGACCAGCAGCATAAACGCGGCCATTATCTGTGTGACGAGGAGGATTATTAATTTATGAGCTGAAACTGATAAAGATCAAGTAATTGAAGTTAGAAAACCATACCAGTAAGAAGAGGGTATGGCGCCACCACAAGCAATGGCTTTAACCACTGATTCTCAGGCAGAGCAAACACAGGGACAGGCCTCCACTGAGACTCCAAGCTCCCTAAACCTAATCTTCCGTAACCTCCATTCCCCACAAACCGCAAATCTCTTTTCGGCTCACTGGACATCCATCTTCTCCATAATTCCTTGAATTTATATCCCTTTTTGAAATGTATTTGATCATTCCACTTAACTTCTACCCACATTGTTTTCTCACGAAGGAGAAGGAGAACCAGAGAGAAAGGGAATTACAAAACTTATGGCTCCTAAGTTCTCTACGTCTTCTTCCAGAAGGTTTGTTAAAAAACCCATTTGGTTGGTGAGACTATTTGATCTCATACTTGATCGCATTTGGTAAATATACACTCCACCAAACTTTTGAAATGTTAGAATAAGAAAAGCACAAGCCGAACGACACATACCCAAGGTTTACTGTAACAACGAAGTAGTGCCCAAAAGGTTTTGAAACGAAAAATAAGTACCTTTTGTCATGTACGGTTAGTGATTTTCATTTAGTAATGGTGAAAAGACTAGAATGCCATTGAAAGTTTGATATTTTAGTTTTTTATAAATTTAAAAATTTCTAAAAAACCTCATAGGTTTACTAATTTAACTAAACAACCCAACATATAAAAATTTTGTAAAATCATAAAAACACCCCCACCACCCGCAATGCCAGATTCCGGCCACCACCATCGGAATTTGGCCAAAAAATTGAGTTACGACACAGACCCCTTCGGATCTGTGTCGTAACGCGTCGATCTGGCATTTTCCGGCCAGATCTACGTCCAGATCTAGCCGTCGAGTTTTTTGCGGCCTCGACGGCCAGATCTGGCCTTTTCCAGCCAGATCCGCCATGGATCTGACTGGAAAATGCCAGATCTACTCGTTACGACACAAATCTGATGGGTCTGTGTCGTAACACAATTTTCCGGCCAAATTTCGGCAGTGGTGGCCGGAATCTGGCACTGCAGGTGGCGGGAGTGTTTTTGTGATTTTACAAAATTTTTATATATTGGGGTGTTTAGCTAAATTATCAAACCTAGGGGGTTTTTTAAAAATTTTTAAATTTACAAAAAAACTAAAATATCAAACTTTCAAGGGCATTCTAGTATTTTCACTATTACCAAATAAAAATCACTAACAATACATGACGGAAGGTACCTATTTATCATTTTAAAATCTTTTAGATACCATTTTATCGATACGGCTAATCTTGGGTATGTATAAGTCGTTCGATATAGCATAAGAGAACCATTTGGATCATCTAAAGCCACCAAGATTTTGGAAATGTAATAAAAAACTCGTGAAAAAATGAAAATGACCATTCTTTGAATTTGGATCATCTAAAGACACGTGGCACGTATATCATTCAATGAATGAGATTCCTTACTGGAACTATTTTTCTTTTTCACCCTTAGCCCCACTTATTTTATTATTAAACCCTAACCCATCTGTGGTTATTAATTACTGGTTCTTTTTTGTTAATGAAACAGTGATATTGAAGATGAAATTTTTTTTTAAAAAAAAAAAATGATAAAATAATAGTTTATAGTGGAATTAATATTTGATCAACCCAATAAGTTAACAATTTTTTTTTTTTTTACCTGAGCCCGCTTGTGTATACCTCAACTAATTTTTTGAGGTTCTGAAATGAACGACTGAGTATATTTCCTCAATGGTCACCCCTATTAGAACATTTTTTATATAAATAAAGAACATCTTCGTTAATCTTTAAATATAAAGAACAATTTTTTTATACAAATCTAATGCATTCTTTAAATTTAATGAAGATGCTCTTTATTTTCAAAAAAAAAAAAAAAAAAAAAAGCTAAACTCACTCTTTAATTTATATTTAAAGAATAAAAAGTCTGTTGGACTCTTATTTTTATGGATAAACTCGTTATAATAAAGAGTTTGAATGTATAAAGAATTTTTTGAAGATGCTCTTAATGCATGAGAGACTCGAACTCAAGATCTCATGTTAGACTCTTTCAGTCTTTTACCATCAAACCACCTAGTGGTGGTTCCCGTTAACATTATTGTTCCCAAGACAAGGCACAAATATCAACTTCATGTAAGTAAATCAATGGGGTAAACATAGCGGAAAACAAAATTTTTCCCATCGATTACTCTGATGAACCCAAAATCAAGGTCTAATATGTATATATGTTACATGCTTAAATTGAAATAACACAAAAACCAAACAAGGATCAGATCATACCAGTGTTTGGAGGCTCCGTCAATGTCTCTGGATGTGATCTGTAACGCCCACATTGAGGTACGTAACTTAACTTATGCCTTTTTACCCTTAGTTGATTTTTTTTGTTAAAGTTATTTTGAGAAAATGTGAAGAAAGTGCCTTAAAATTTCATTAGGGGTAAAATAGTATTTTCACTCATAATTAGTTGAAAAAGTGGGGAGTGAAAAGAGATAGAATTTCATGGAGAAGTTAATTAAAATGAGGGCATTATTGTAATTGACTAAGGGACATAGATGAAATTTCATAGAAAGTGCAAGGGCAAAATAGGAAAGTAGAAGTAATAAATGAGATATTTTGGGTTCATTCTTGAAAACCCTATCATTCTCTACTCCCTCACACGCCACTTTCATCTCCAAATTCTCTCATTTTCTTCATCAAATTTCCAAGGTAATTTAGAGGATTTTTGGTTGGATTTTGGTAGATATTCAATCCTAAGCATCCAAAGGTATGAGTTCTTGCAATATGATGTGAGATTAATTTTTAAAGTGTTGAATTCTTATAGTTATATGCTTATGGTTTAAGAAGGAGAGGAGATCTACCTAAAGAGAGAGTTTCTAGTGTAGAACTACCCAAGATCAAGGTAAGTAAATCTAACTCTAAGTTTGATTTGAGTAAGTTTGTAGAGATTTGTACATGTATGTATGTGCTTATGTTTTTGAGAAGTTTTGATGAGATTGATACTTGATGATAATTAAAATTCAGCTATGAGAATGTAGACTTTGCCTATATGGTGATTGATGGAAGTTTGGTTGAATTTAGAAAGAGTTTGAGTAGACTTTATGGAGTGTACTTTCCTAGCCAGGTTTAGTGTTGATTTAAGGGAGTTTTGCTCCAAATATTGGTGGCTTGAGAAAGAAGTAGAAGTGTAGCCAAATTAGAGTTTGAGTATACATGCCATTTGTTTGATGAAAATCCTAAGAGAAAACATGTTACCATGGTTGTCTTGTCACAGCCATGACCTTCTGAGTGACTTTTGGGTATCTTACTGATTGAATTAGGTTGAGACCTAAACATAAACGTTGTAGCCCTGTCTCTAAGCTTTAAAACGAGACCAAGATTGTAGTAATCCGATGTGTATAACTTGAGATATGTCTTCTTGAATATGACATGTGCAGAATAACTACCTCAAAATATTTTTAGTCTAATAATCTATGATTGATTTCAAGTATGGGAATGTTGTTGGCAAAAAATACTAGTTCTCTAATGATATTTTTATATGGCATAATGCATTCTCACATTCTCACATTTGCATTTAGAAAGAATAGTAAAGAAATAGCATAGTTCCATGCACATACACATGGATGAGAATAGTAAAGAATTAAAGGTAGAAGTATTATCTAAAGAAATATACTTAAAGAAGAATTCAAATCTGAAATTTTACTTAAAGAAATGTAAAAAGAAAAGAGAAGTGAAGGTTGTTGTGATGGGGAACCCGTGAGTGACAGAGAAAAATAGTCCCACATACACGCTGCTTTCAGTGAGAGGCCTCAGAATAAGAAAAAAGTAAGTGTACAGTTCGTTAGAAGTGTACGTGGATGAGAACTGTACCAACATAATTTACCTACATGCACACCGTCTTTAGTGAGCGGCCTCAGAATCAGAAAGAAGAGTTGTACAGTTCGATAGAAGTGCATGTAGATGAGGACTGTACCCACTCACATGGCCAGGGTTTCGAATCCATGCCTCAACCGAGTCCGATCGGCATAGAAAGAAAGAACAGAAAGAAAGAAAAGAAAGAAAAAATAGAAAGAAAGAACAGAAAGAAAGAAAGAACAGAAAGAAAGAAAGAAATAATATAACAGAAAGAAAGAACAGAACAGAAATAAAGAACAGAACAGAAAGAAAGAAAGAATAGAACACAGAAAGAAAGAATAGAATAGAAAAAAAGAAGAGAAACAGAAAACAGAAAAGAAATTGCATTCTTTATGCATTTATGCATATGCATCATGGCATTCATATTATTTAGAGTTAGTTTCTCTAGTTCTGCTTACTTGTTAGTAAGTGAGAAACAAGAATATAGAAAGAACAGAGAGAAAGAATATAGAAAGAATAGAGAGAAAGAATATAGAAAGAACAGAGAGAAAGAAAAAGAGTAGAGAAAGAACAGAGAAAAAGAAAGAAATGTGTTGTAAGGAAAGAAATTCAGAAGTTGAACAACGGAGAGAAAGGAGTAGCCTACTGGGTTTACTTACTGAGCAGTTAGTGCTCACCCCGTTGTTTTCAATGTTTTTACAGGTAGTAGATGAGAGGCGGTCCGAAGGAGTGTCAAGAAGCGGAAGGAGCGGGCAACACTATCGAGACTATTTCGAGAAGTTTTGTTACATGATGTAAAGTTTTGTTTATAAAAAAAATTGGGCCCATTATTTTAAACTCATCTATATGTATATTTTCTTATATATATTTAGTGAGTTTCACTGTTATTTTATGAGTATTCTAGCTAGAAAGAAAGCATTACACAATCTCGCTACTGATCCCAGTGTAGGATCGAACTCACGTTGTCCACACGAAAACAGTACAATAGAGACCAGAGATTGGTTTTGCTAGATCCAATCCTTAGCTTTAAGGATTCAAGGTTTGGAAGGATGAAGTGAAGAAGAAAGGAAGAGAGAAAAAAAATTCTCTCATAGTTTTTCATTCCGCGACTCAAAATGAGACTTGTACTTTTGCTATATGTCCTTGTTTAATTATTTAGTTAAATATTAATATTTATATTAATATTAATATTAATATTAACTTCAATAATTAAATTCGTAATTTTGCTAGATAACTCCAATAATTAAATTGGACACAAGCAACAACCTCAATAAATTTAATTACATAGCAAAATTACCAATATGCCCTTTCGTCCAAAAGACAAATATACCCTTCCATAGTTAGCCACCCTTAAACTGTCTCCTTAGTGTGTGACCCCTAGGCTATACCAGCAGTAAGTAGTATCGCGATTGACATCAATCAATCGTCTCACTATGCACAAACCAAAATTGGCCCCTAGTAAGGCATCATGGCCACCTGATAGATTCGGATTTAGCGAAATAACTACTTGTCGATGATATGGTTACCATGCAATCAAATTCTTTCATCATTTGTTACCTCATCGAGACTGAGGTATAGAAATAGTGTCAACCTCAGTTATCCTCGATATATTTGTATTCAATTACTAAACCAATGACCGGAATAATAAATTAGATTGAGCAACAACTCAATCACACTGTGATCATAGATTTACTGTCATTGTCATTAACTAAATTGCGCCGTGAGATAACTTCTCCCGTACCCGGGAGTGATGAATCCTCTATCGATCCACCATAGTCTTGATATACTCCTTGATACAGCCAATCACTACCGTATTGACAGCTCTAAATAGAACTACGTTGGGCTAGTGTCAAACTACACCAATCGATACACAAAACACTCCGGTGATCTCAAGTCTAAGGATCACATGCACCACCATTTGTTAGAGGATTTGTTACATAGACACTGCGGTTACCATTTATATGAAATCCTCTGGTATGGTGAACTTGTGATAGAATAGGAACAAGTTGTTTTGCTAGGAAAGTATTGAGGATGTTCGAATTAGAACCCTAAGGAAATTGAGTCCTTAAAACCCTAATCTTGAGATGTCACAAAGGTTGATCACTCCCTTTGATAAGTCGAGATTCAAGCATTCAATCTGTTAGAGTAGATGCCCTAGAGCCAATCAATTATTGTAGAATTGACTCTTTGTAATAATGTTCATTAATCAATAAAAAGGCATTTTATTCTATATCGCGTAAATCATTATTATTACAATATGTATTGATATATGTCCTTAGAATGGTAGAACCGTGAGGAGGGTATCAAATGTTTCAAATCTTGATAGTGAGAACCCTATGAGCACATATGGTGGCCATTCTAGAAACGTCCGTAGCCTCAGTATTATTCTGAAGTAAGGGCACAGATAATACGGTAAGGCTATCATAGTGTTGAACGACCCTGTCGAAAGGCAGTGACTGATCTCACTTGTCAAGGTTGTTTGGTGACAACCTGGTGCAACACATGGGTGCTTGCTGTAGGCAATTACACCGCAGCAAGTTCACTAGACTGACCCACCCGAGGATTCCATATGGATGATAACCCTAGTGTCTATGGAACAAATCCTCTAACGAATGGTGGTGCATGTGATCCTTAGACTTGATATCACCAGAGCGTCTTGTGCACCGATTGGTGCAGTTTGACATTAGCCTAACGCAGTTCTTTTCAGAGCTGTCAATACGGTGGTGATTGGCTGCATCGAGGAGTGTATCAAGACTATGGTGGATAGACAGAGGATTCATCACTCCTCGGTACGGGAGAAGTTATCTCACGGCGCAATTCAGTATATGACAATGACACTAAAACTGTGGCCACAGTGGGATTGAGTTGTTGCTCTATCCGGATTATGATACAGGTCATTGGTCCAGAAACTGAATACATAATATCGAGAGTAACTGAAGGTTGACACTATTTCTATGTCTTCGTCTCGTCGAGATAACGTATGATGACAGGATCGAATTGCATGGTAACCATATTGTTGACAGGTAGCTATTTTGCTAAATCCGAATCTATCGGGTGGCCATGATGCCTTGCTAGGGGCCAATCTTGGTCTATGTATTAGTGAGACGATTAATTGGTGTTAATTGCAATACTACACACTACTGGTATGATGAGGAGCTTATGAGTCACACACATAGAAGATAATTTAAGACTCAAGAAGGAAGGGAGTTTTCGTCTTTTTAAGGTGAAAGGGTATTTTGGTAATTTTATAGTATAATTAAATTTGCTGAGGTCGTAGGCTTTATTTAATTTATTAAAAAAATTAAATAAGTGAAATTATGTTTAAATATGTGTTTGCATATATTTAATTAAATCATCATTATTGTTAAATGTTAATATATAGATTAAATATATATTAATTGATTTTTAATTGAGACAATGATGAATTAAAATAAATATCTAATTGGGAGTGTTTGGAAATATGGGGTGTTTGGGTTGGAGCCCAAGCCTATTCTATATGGGAATAGGGTAATTAAAATGTTACTATAAAAGAAATGTTTTAACTGTAAAAAGTTGAGAAATTCTTTTAACTCATTTCATTGTAAAAGAGAAAACACACAGCCCTTTTTGCTCTCTCCCACGCCAAACTTGGTTTTGATTGAAAATCAAAGTACTCTTCATTTCTTCTTGTTTCTTAAGGCTAAAGAGGGATCTAGCAAATCCCTCATTAGTTCCTTGCGATTGTCTTCATGTAGACTACGTTGGTTCAATCTTACACTTGGGTCGGTAGCATAATACATTTAGAGACAACTTGGAGGAGCCTCCAAACGTGCGTATGATTTCTTAAACTCTAGATTAATTTTCTGCAGATTCTTATTTGGTATAAATTGTAAAATTGTACCCTGATCTTGGTTCTATGGAATGATCCTTGTTATTATTGTTTTTGTTTTCCGTTGCCTTAATGAATCGTTTCCTAACACAATCAAGAACACAAGAAGGCAAAGCAAATAGCTTTCTGAAATAAACTTCAATTGATAATAATCTGTCCCCAAAAAATAAGATGGCTGCTCCTTTTTATAAGCAATAAACCCTAAAAGAAAACCCTAGCTAATTGAAAAACGGGTTGGGCCTAAGTACAACCGAATTGGGCCTAAATAAACCTTAAATAAATAAAAGACTAAAGAATCTAATGATAATTAAAACATAAAAAAAACCCAAGATTAAATAAATGAAAATTAATTCATAAATTAATCCTTGCATCCAATTTGATCTTCTGAATCTACCCCTTGCATAAAAAGATAATAGGCCATCCTTGGTGAAGCTTTGAAATCTTCGAATTTAGTGAGTCTTCTAGTATAACCTCTTTATATTACACTTCTATGATCAAGCCTTGGAAAGCCTCTTTCATCTTCTTTGTCTTTGCCCTAGTCATTGGACCACCAATTCCTTGCAAAGGATCTTGAGAATATTTGGGAACATTAACTTGGTCAGCACCTCGATCTCCATTATTCCCCTCCTCTTTGAAAGGATTCGTCCTTGAATCTCCTACATCAAACAAAGATAAATCAGCAACATTAAAAGTTGCACTAACATTACCATAGTCGCTTGGCAAATCTAGCTTGTAGGCATTATCATTGATTCTCTCCAAGACTTGAAAAGGTCCATCTCCTCGAGGCTGCAATTTTGATTTCCTTTGTGTGGGAAACCTCTCCTTACGCATGTACACCCAAACCCAATCTCCAGGTTGGAAGACAACCTTCAAACGCCCCTTATTGGCTTGCTTAGCATATTGCTCATTCTTCGTTTTACTGTTGGCCCGAACTCTGGCATGTAAATCCTTCACAAAATCTGCCTTTTTCTTACCATCAAGATTAGCATGCTCATTGGTAGGCAAAGGTAAAATATCCAAAGGTGTTGAAGGATTAAAGCCATAAACAATTTTTAAAGGAGAAAATGAAGAAGTAGAATGAACAGTCCTATTATATGCAAACTCAATATGTGGCAAACACTTCTCCCACTGCCTTAAGTTCTTTTGAATGATAACACGCAACAAAATAGTGAGTGTCCTATTAACTACTTCAGTTTGACCATCCGTTTGAGGATGTGCAACAGTAGAAAATAACAGTTTGGTTCCTAATTTATTCCATAAAGTGCGCCAACCATCTCTATCACTAACAATTGTTGTAGCCAACCTATGCAAACGAACCACTTCTTTAAAGAACAAATCAACAATATGTGTTGCGTTGTTTGTTTTAGAATATGTAATAAAATGAGCCATTTTACTAAACCTATCAACAAAAACAAATATGCTATCCTTACCACTTTGAGTCCTTGGTAATCCTAAAACAAAATCCATCGATATATCAATCCAAGGTTGATTAGGTACAGGTAAAGGGGTATACAAGCCATGCGGTCTAACTTTAGATTTTGCTTGACTATATGTAATGCACTTATCACAAACAGATTGTACATCATGCTTCATCTTAGGCCAATAAAAATGCTCACGTAATATATCTAAAGTCTTTAGAACACCAAAGTGACCCATCAAACCTCCCCCATGACTTTCCCTAACAAGTAACTCATGAACAGAACAAATAGGCACACATACTTTATCTTTCTTGAATAGAAATCCTTCATGCCTATAAAAATCACCAAACGCACAATTATCACATGCATTCCATACTTGGCTGAAATCAGAATCATTGGCATACAAATCCTTAAGCAATTCAAAACCAAGTAATTTAGTTTGTAATGGAGTAAGTAATATGTACCTCTTAGACAATGCATCAGCCACAACATTTTCCTTCCCATGCTTGTATTTGATTACATAAGGAAACGTTTCTATGAACTCCAACCACTTAGCATATCTTTTATTAAGCTTACCTTAGGGCTTCAAGAACTTCAAGCTCTCATGATCGGAATGAATGATGAATTCCCTTGGCCACAAGTAATGCTGCCATGTTTGAAGAGTTCTCACTAATGCATAAAGCTCCTTGTCGTAAGTAGGATAATTCAACGCTGCCCCACTTAGCTTTTCACTAAAATAAGCAATTGGTTTAGAATCCTGCATCAAAACAGCTCCTATTCCAATCTCGGATGCATCACATTCTATCTTAAAAGCTTTATCAAAGTTAGGAAAACACAACAAAGGTGCATTAGTTAGCTTATCTTTCAATGTTTTGAAAGCCCGGTTATGTACATCATCCCACTTAAAAATAACATTCTTTTTAACAAGTTCATTCAAAGGTGCAGCAATAGAACTAAAATCTTTAACAAACCTTCGATAAAAACTTGCTAAACCATGGAAACTTCTCACCTCGTTCGCATTCTTAGGTGTAGGCCAGTCCCTTATTGCCCTTACCTTTTCTTTATCAACACTAATACTAGTTATCTTATTAATAGCTCGGCAATCCACACACATGCGCCATGTTCCATCTTTCTTTGGGATTAAGAGGACAGGAACAGAATATGGGCTGAGACTCTCCCTTACAAATCCCTTTTGCAACAGCTCATCCACTTGCCTTTGTATCTCCTTCATTTCCTCGGGATTAGCTCTATAAGCAGGTCGATTTGGTATGGCAGAACCAAGTATGAAGTCTATTTGATGCTCAATTCCTCTTAGATGAGGTAATCCATGGGGAATCTCCTCAGGAAATAGGTCCTCAAATTCCTGCAATAAAGACATGACAACACTAGGCAAAGATGAGTTAAGGTCGTTAGTAGAAAAATAAACATCCTAGTACATAAGTACAAGTACTTGTTGCCTCGCCATCATTACACTCTTAACCTCATGTTTTTCAGCAAGTACACTCATTCTTTTATTTTTCTCTCCATGTTGCTCACTTTTCTCTCCTTTTTGCTCACTTTTCTCTCCATTTTTCCTCTCGACCTCACTTGTTCTCTTTCTATTTTCCTCTTGCTCACACTGTTGTTTCTCTCTCATTTTGCACTCCCTTGCTATTCTAATCTGGTCCTCATAAGCTTGCAAAGGTTTGAGAGGGGCTAATACAACTTTTCGGTTGTTCATTACAAAAGAATAACGATTTTTGTACCCATCATGCGACACCCTCCTATCAAATTGCCACAGTCGGCCAAGCAATATATGACCAGCATACATCGGTGCCACATCATGAAGAACCTCATCCTCATACTTGGCAATTGAAAAAGGAACCCGAACTTGCTTGTTTACCTTCACTTCTCCACAGTCATTCAACCATTGTAGCTTATACGGTTTGGGATGCTTCTTCCACTTCAAATTCAATTTTTCTACCAATAAAGTACTAGCAGCATTAGTCCAACTCCCACTATCAATAATCAATGTACATACCTTATCTTTTACATGGCATCTTGTGTGAAAAATATGCTCACGTTGCTCCTCATCTCCTTCATCCTTAGGCTGTATACTCAGGGCTCTCCTTGTAACAAGTAAATCACCATGCACAGGTTCTTCCACTTCAACATCAGAACAATCCTCCAATGGTGGCATCTCATTGTCACTTGACACCTAAAACACTTAATATCATGTGACTTAGTAAGAGTTTTAGTTTTGGGTTTATCTTTAGGAACAGCAACCGAATTCTTTGACTTTGCTTCTTCTTTTGTTCTGAAGGCAACTTTGTTGTCCTTCCAATTTGATCTCCACGGAGAGCTAGAGGACAAACCAGATCTGAACCTCTTGGACTTGATTTGCTTCTCCACTTTAACGGCTTTGTGCAGTAGCTCCTCCATCTCTACATAATGTTGCAACTCAACGACGTCAGCAATCTTTTTGTTCAATCCGGCAATGAATCTAGCCATTGTTGCTTCTCTATCTTCCTCTATGTTTGCTCTAATCATGGCGATTTCCATCTCCTTATAATAATCCTCTACACTCATGGAACCTTGAACCAACCCTTGCAACTTCCTATACAAATCTTTATAGTAATGGTTCGGTATAAATCTCTTACGCATCACCAACTTCATCTCTTCCCATAATCGAATAGGTCTCTCACCATTTCTACGCCTATTGATTGCCAATTGATCTCACCATATACCTACATAATCTATAAACTCCATGGCTACTAGCTTTACCTTTTTCTCCTCGGAGGAATTATGACAATCAAATACGTGCTCAACCTTTCTTTCCCACTCCAAGTACAGCTCAGGATCATTCTTTCCTTGAAACGTCAGAATTGCCATCTTTATACTGCCTATATTGTTATCTCCTTTAGAGTCAACCTTCTTGGCCCGTTTATAACTTGTTCTCTCCACTTCGGAATCAGCTTCATCTTCTTCGTCGAACTCATGTCTTCTATGTGATTTAGAAGCGGAAAAGGACTCCAAATCATTCAATCTCGCATTCAGCAATTTAAATTGGTCATTAACAGCCTTGATGCAGAATTTCATGTCAACCTCTTGTGGTTTTCCTCCTTCCTTACTCATGGTTTCAACTTGTAAAATAAAATAAAATAAAAGGTGTTGTTCCTCACACACTCCCTCACGTGTTTGCACTCAAATCAATTTGTTATCACTTGTGTTTCACACTATTTTGGCTTTTTCTTGATGATGATATCTCTTGCCTTTTACCACTCAAAGCCAAGCCAGCCCCCTTTATGTTCTTAACAGAATCAAAGAATTCAACAAATCTTAAGAAGAAATCGGTTAGATGGTGACAATCTCAAAAATCAGAACTTTAAAAACTTAGTTAAGGCAAACAGTGAACAGAAAGAAAGACCCAAGATGACTCTAAAGAACCAAGAAAAACAAGAAAACTCTAAAAGGAGGCAAAAGACATGTGAAAGAAATCACTGGAATTGACGCTAAATGATTAAGAAGGCAAAAGACACAAAACAACCTTGTATATGCTTGAAACAATCACTAGAACAAAAATAAAGAGAAACTAGAACAGAATAAAAAGGAAACTAGAACATAATAAAGGAAACTAATTCAACAAGAATAAGAAACTCAAGCAACAAAAAACAAGAATTGGAAACTTAATGGAACAAAAATAGGATACTTAGCAAAGAGAACAAGAACGGGAAACTTAACAACTCGAAATTGCCACATTGTTCTTTTTTTTTTTTTTTTTTTTTTAAATGCAGCAGAACTATGAAAAGAAGAATTCAATTATTATTATTATTTTTTGAATCAAGAACGCAAACAAAGAGTGTTGGAGATAAATAATCTGTTTCCAGCAACCAAAGCTCTGATACCAAATGATAGAATAAGAACAAGTTGTTTTGCTAGGAACGTGTTGAGGATGATCGAATTAGAACCCTAAGGAAACTAAGTCCTTAAAACCCTAATCTTGAGACACCACAAAGGTTGATCACTCCCTTTGATAAGTCGAGATTTAAGCATTCAATCAAGAACACAAGAAGGCAAAGCAAATAGCTTTCTGAAATAAACTTCAATTGATAATAATCTGTCCCTAAAAAATAAGATGGCTACTCCTTTTTATAAGCAACAAACCCTAAAAGAAAACCCTAGCTAATTGAAAAACGGGTTGGGCCTAAGTACAAGCGAATTGGGCCTAAATGAACCTTAAATAAATAAAAGACTAAAGAATCTAATGATAATTAAAACATAAAAAAAACCCAAGATTAAATAAATGAAAATTAATTCCTAAATTAATCCTTGCATCCAACTTGATCTTCCGAATCTACCCCTTGCATAAAAAGATAATAGGCCATCCTTGGTGAAGCTTTGAAATCTTCAAATTTAGTCTTAGAGTCTTCTAGTACAGCCTCTTTGTATTGCACTTCCATGATCAAGCCTTGCAAAGCCTCTTTCATCCTCTTTGTCTTTGCCCTAGTCATCGGACCGCTAATTCCTTGCAAAGGATCTTGAGAATATTTGGGAACATTAACTTGGTCAGCACCTCGATCTCCATTAACTTGCCTACAGCAAGCACCTATGTGCTGCATTAGGTTGTCGGCAAACAACCTTGACAAGTGAGATCAGTCACTGCCTTTCGACAAGGTAGAAGACTTCTAGACACTACACTAAGAGAATTTGTGGGATGTATTGGTAAACAAAGAGATACAATACTTTTATTTTATCTAATATTCTTTATTATACTTTTTTTTTTTAAATGGGGCTAATGAATAAGAAGATGGGGTCTAAAAATGAATTTGGAGTATGAATTTGACAGAAATTTTTCTTCAACTCAGTATGACAATGGACAAATTATTTTTTTCATTAATGAATGACAATGGCGTCTCAAGTAGAAGAGAAAGAAACTCCATAATTGTCAATAATAAATTTATTAAACAAAGATAAAAAAACGTTGTGTTTGTTTTATTATATTGAGTAATATTTTTGAAAAAGTTGAGTTGGGTAGTTATTGCGATGATAGGATTTGAAAACTAAGAAAAACACCCCGTAGGTTTGTTAATTTAGCTACCCTACAATAAAACATTGAAAATTAACAAAAACACCCCCATCCACCCATTAATGCCGACAGTTGGCCACCACTGCCAGAGGGTGGCCAAAAGTCATCGTAATAGCGCACGACCGGCTGGATCTGGCCAGTCGTGTATGGATCTGACCAAAAAAGGCTACATCTGGTTGTCAACGACGACTATATCTTGGCTGTCGTTGACGACTAGATCTGGCCAAAGATCTGACCTTTTCTAGCCAGATCGGTGCACGACCGACCAAATCCAGTTGGTCGTGTGCCATTACGGTGACTTCCGACCACCCTTCGATAGTGGTGGCCAGCTGCCGGCATTTAATGGGTGGATAAGGGTGTTTTTGTTAAATTTCAATGTTTTATTGTAGGGGGTGTTTAGATAAATTAATAAACCTAGGGGGTTTAAAAATAATTGAATAAAATAGGATTGAATTTTGAGAATATTGAAACAAATATGTATTTTGGGTAGGATAGGAATAAGAAAGGATAAGAATAATAAAACAAACACAGCCATAAATCTCTTACTGTAAAAAAAGAAAATTATAAAAATAATTCTAATCATTGAATGGCTTAACTTTAGATCATTCAAAAGTTAGAAATAGAGGTAAAAAAGCGCAACTGTCCAGTGTTACTGTAGGTCATTTTTGGTGTAGTGTTACTAGACTTTCTGTGTTGTCATTCTTTGATCTTACTAATAGTTTTGGATAAGAGAGCAAAGATTATCTAAGATAAAAAGATTTTAATTTAAAGTCTTAATCGATAAGTCTCAAACAAGATTTTTGAAAGGATTTTTTAATTCATTTTTGTGAGTTATATATTTGTTATGAGTTATTATGATATAAGTGTTATATATAAGTGTTGATATAGAAATATGCACCAACCAAAGAATTTCGATCGACCTTGGTGGGATCGGAATGAATGTGCACATGATTACGGATAATTAACGATTGACAAGTATTGAATGCAATAAAGTAAATGACAATGAGAGTTTTTAAAGTGGTTTGGCGAGGTAAACTCTTAAGTCTATGTCCACTGCTTTTTGTATTTGTTGTAAGAGCTTACAATGAGAATTCTGTAAAAATTTTGTAACCCCTTTTCCATGATTTGAGGGGGAGAATTCTGTGAAAATAAAGGGATTACAATTGATCTAAGCTGCAATTATGATATTCTCACGATTGGGCGCTGTGATTGTGTAGAGATTTTTGTTGATCTAGTCATTTCCGTGATATCTGGGATCTGAAGTTATATGGGAATTAATTAAATGATCATTTAGGTTGTTCGCGACTGGCTTGTGCTGGGTTGAGCTATATGTCGACAAGCTTATGTTGGGTCAGACAACCGGTGGGGTTGGATTGATCCTGAGTCGAGCTACATCCTCGCGGTAGCCCGAGCTTGGTGGAAAAATCACACACAACATCTGCCCCCTAGTGTTCAATGCTCGTTTCGTGCTTCAAAGACTATTACTTGATTTGATACCAAGCTCGCTATTAACAACAGGTCTTTGGATGCAGGTTCGGCTGAGCTCTTAGGGTCGACCTCATGTCTAGGCATGTGCTTCACACTTGTTTGCTTCCTACGATACCTTTGAACTCAGAATATGAAAAGTTAGGGCAAATATGTAATTTCCATGCGGTCATGTCGTATTAAATGTGGCAGCCTTTGTTAGTCACGCTTCGTCGCATGTGGGTGTCTTCAACTGTCCACGTGTGAAGTCAAGATGACGTGCGACAATGGTTATAATTAGTGCAACAGTCTATGTTTCATCGCCCCTCATGGATGGATGACACGTGGCCATGTCTAAGGGCTGAGATTGCTTGACGAATGAGGGTCAAGATTCACTGTAGATTGACGTCTGCGATTAAACCCCGCCCTTTCGTCTTCCATGCAAACCACTATAAAAGGTGGCGAAGTCGTCAGAATGCTCATTCAATCCACAGAAGTTTTTTGATGCCTTTGTTCACTTCATTGCTGCTTTGTCGTCGTCACAGTGCTCTTTCCAGCGAGTTTCTGTACTTCTTTTATTCCGGTAAGGTTCTTTTCCTTTTTTTTTTTTTTTTAGAATGTAATAGAATTCTATCAATGAAAAGAAAAATTTTCAACATGTCCTCATCGAGCTAAGATTGTTATATTTTTGCGGAGTTATTTCATTTGTCCTAGTTGGACTTGTAATAGAAGATCTGAATTCGCTCTAAGTTATGTATAACTCGCTTCTTGAAGAGCTTTTTTGAATGTGTGCGAGGAAATTTTTTGCGACATCCGATATCAGATCAGTTATTCGTTTTGAGTTTTGGTCCAGCTTAAGGCCGATTTCCTTCGACGTGTTTTTTCTCGAATTTTTTCAAGTTTAACTTCATCGATTTAGGATGTTTCATCTTTAAAGAGTTGGATTTTGGCGTGGCTTTTTGAGATAAGCTGCCTTTTTCGGACTCTTATCTCCGAGTTTTCTTTTTGGAATATCATCGCGTAGGTCGCGATGTTTGAAACAATGAATAAATGTTAAACAAACTAAGAACATTAACAAAGAAAAATAATGAATAATACCTCTTTTGTTGATCAAGCTTTTTGGTCGTAAGCGGCCTTACAACGAATAAAAAAAGAAAAATAAGTGGAACCCAAGCTACTTATTGGTAATACCTTCACAAATGCTTGGTGCTCCAGGCTCGAGGTATCGCTTCACTATTGAGGCGTTCCAGGTGAAAAGATCCTGGTGCGAGCTTTTCAGAGATCCTGAAAGGATCTCCCTATTTGGGTCCAAGTGCCCCCAAGTTCGGGTTTTGGGTACACTGGACGACCTATTTGAGAACCAGGTTGCCCACTTCAAAGTCTATGTTTTTTACTTTGGTGTTGAAATATCGTTTGACTCGCTGCTGATATGAGGCGAGCCTTAATTGAGACTTGGCCCGGTGCTCTTCATCAGGCTGGTACATCGGGATTTGGTTATATCCCAAGTACGCATCCATGAAGCTAGTAGTACGTTCCTGGCTGTCGCATCTACTAGGTGGTCAATCCGTGGTAGCGGAAAGCTATC